AAAAAAAAAAACAAAAAAAAAACAATCAAACAAAAAAAATTCCTTTTTTAGTACTGTAGGAATTTGGGAGTTATAGATAATTGGGCAGTTGTAGAACTAGAGAGGAGAAGTGGGGGGATCTACATTTGTTGGGATCACAATGTACATATTTTTCAAGTGATCAAGTAGCCCTTCTGCATTGGGATTCAATTTTGGGATGAGCAGCAAGAGATAGTGTGCTCGGGCATATTCTATCTCAGCACAAATAGTAAATCTAGGCAAGAGCAATGAAATTGTTTGGCTGCTGCTAGGATAACTGTGGTTAGTTTTGGTTAATGTCAGGATATTTCAATGACATTGCATTGCCAGAAGAGAATAGAGGGGCTAAAGCTAGAACTGTGCAATCCTACAGTATGTTCAATAACTTCATTAACTCTATGGGGATGATGGAAGCATGATGGCTTGGTTACCTATTCATCTGGGGAAATAACAAGCTCAATGAAGGATTCATAGAGGAGAAATTGGATAGATGTTTAGGGTCCTTTGACTGGCATTCCAAGAACCCAACATCCACTGTACACAACACATTCAGGAGTGCCTCAGACCACAACTTGGTACTTATATGCAGTAATCGAGACTCCAATCATCCCAAAAGACGATTTAATTTTGACAAAAGATGGTTAGAAAGATCGGGGATCACTAAAGTTATTTCTAATGCCTGGAGGAGAGAACAGTATGGGACACCAATGTATTGTCTGAAGTATAATATTAAGCATATTAACGTGGAATTACTTAAATAGAGCTCAACTTTTACATCCAAGAATGCAAAGAAGATTGAGGTCTTGAAGAGGAAGCTGAATCAAATGAGAGAAGAATGAGATTTGAGAGACGGAAGCCAATGGGACCAATTGACTGCAGAATTGAATGAGGCTTACAAATTAGAGGAGCAGTATTAGGAGAAAAAGTCAAGAATAACATGGCTGAAATCTGGAGATAAAAACTCCAAGTACTTTCGTGCACCATGCAGAGAAAAAGGAAAAACAAAATCCTTAGGCTGATCAGAGAGTATAGCACAATATGTGATAGCAAGGATGAAATTGCACTGTGCATTGAATCTTCTCTCTCTTTTACACTTCTGAGGACAGTCAGTCAGGAGACAGGTTGCTACAAGGTATTGAGGATGCCATCTCTGTAGATCTTCTTGGTGGCACATGTGAGCACAGATGACATCAAAGAAGCCCTCTTTAGCATCAATCCCTCTAAAGCCCTTGGACCAGATGGTATGAATTCTATCTTCTTTCAATCATTATGGTCCACTATTTGTAATGATCTTTGTGCTTTTGTTCTAAGATTTTTAGTTCTGGTAAAATTCTGAAATGTCTCAATCATTCCTTGATAACATTGATCCCTAAATGTGCTTATCCCTCTTCAGTGGCTCATTAGAGGCCCATTAGCTTATGTAATGTTGTTTACAAAGTGGTTTCTAAACTCCTGGCAAACAGATTGAAACCTTGTCTTCCTTACTGCATCAGTCTAAATCAGTCTGCTTTTGTTAAAGATAGGCAGATCCTTGATAATGTGATCATTGTTAATGAAGTCATTAATTTCCTTAAATGTCACAGAACCAGTAGGAAATGCTATATGGCCATTGAGCTGGACATGAGTAAAGCCTTTGATAGAGTGGAATGGGATAGTATTAGAGTTATTATGTTGAAGTTGGGTTTTAATTCTTTATTTGTGAAATGGATTATGTAATACATTAACTCTACCTCTTTTTCATTTAATTTGAATGGAGATGCCATTGGATATGTGAAGTCTGCAAGAGGAATAAGACAGGGTGACCTATTTTCACCCTATCTATTCATCCTGATCACATAAATCTTCTCTTATTTAATTAAAACTGAGGTGAACAGAGCCAACTTGCAGGGTATCAAAATGAACAGGCACTGTCCACCCTTAACCCACATGTTCTTTGCAGATGATATCCTCATATTTTCTAAATCTGAAGCCCAAAAAACCTATACCCTGTTGAGTATTCTTCACCATTATAATACCTTGACTGAGCAAAGAGTCAATCTTGATAAGTCCTCCATTTTTTTCAGTAAAATAACACCACAGCCCCTCCAAGATCGGATTTGCAACATCCATTTGGGCATTAAACCTCAGACATCTTCTAAATACCTTGGCGCCACTTGGCATTTGCATTTCCAAAACTGGTTCATTTTCTTTTGTTAATGAGATTGTTAAGAAAAGAATCTTGAACTGGAAAAATTGGCATCTATGTCTTGCAGGTAAAAAGTTCTTCTCAAAGTTGTCATTGGATCTTTACCCACATACACCATGTCATGCTTCTTTCTGCCCCAAACAGTGACAAAGAAAATCTCTTCTGATTCATATGGCAAGTTTCTGGTGGAGCAGTAAAATGGGAGAAACTAATTGGATGCATTGGCAAAGCTAGAAGAAACTTTCTTTACCAACAGAGTTGGGAGGGTTAGGATTCCAGGACCTTCATATCTTCAACAAAGCCTTCATTCTGAAACAATTATGAAGACTCCAATCACAACCTCACCTTCTTGTCTCTCAAATCTTGAAAGGGAGGTATTTTCCTAACTGTGAATTGGCAGCAACAAAGAAAAGACAAAATTGTTCATGGCTTTGGTTCATCTGGTGGATAGTCAAAGATCTATTCACTGGTAGTATAATCTGGAAGATTGGGGATCATGGATTCAAGGACTCCAACAGAAGACTGCCAAAGACCTACTACCAAGAAATCCACATCAAAGATCTTCTTGATGACACATGGAGAAACTGGAATAAAAGAATGGTGGAGTGTAACTTTTTACCAGAGGAAGCCAAAGTAATCCTACAAACCAAGAGATTGGATACCCATCAACTAGATTCTTTGCACTGGGATTGGAACTCTACAGGGAAATTTAAAGTCTCAGAAGCATACAAAAAACTTATAGAGCAGAGTTGGAGGAAGATGGATGTACCAGGTTCCAGTACAGACGATAAAAGGCTCAGGTATGATAGAAAAAGAACTTGGTGCTTAAAGTTTATTTGGAAAGGGATTAGCAACATTCTGCCAATCCTAGTCAACGTGAATTCAAAAGGTTCTAAGCTTGATCCCATATTCAAGTTCTATGGTGAAATGCACAACTGATATGGAAATTGGCACCAATCTCCTGGGATGGACTACATCAGATACATGAAGCTTCAAACATTGGTGGACTCATCTTTGCACAATTAACAAGACACAAATCTAAGAAGATAGGGTGCAACTCACATGCTACATACTTTGGTGGATGTGGAAAACTCGTAACTTATGGGTGTTGCAACAGGTTATGAGATCAGAGGCGGATACTGTGAGACTAGCAGTTGCTGAATGGAAGGAATTTGTGCCCTACTCTGCTTAGTTCAGTCAGTGTAAATATTTTGGTTTTTGTTCTTAGGTCGGGTTTTGATGTTTTTATTTGCTTTTGGGTAGGTTTTGATAATTGGTTAGGTCCTATGAAAGGTTCACTCGCTATTTAATTTTGAATGGCTTCTTGGTTCCTTGTTTAAGGAGTTTACTTGGGAAGAGATAGACTTTGGCTCATGGACTCGTAGCTTTTGTCTATGCTGTGAGACCGATTTTATCTCTTTAGTTTGTCAAGAGAGGAGATGGTGCTCCTTCTATTCTTGTAATGTATTGGCTTCTGCCTGAACTGGTTTATTTGATATATAAATTCTGTCGTTTCGAAAGAAAAAACATAAAACAAAAAGAAAAAACAAAAAAAAGTTCTGCACTTACTACAACACAAATCCCGGATGACTGAGCTAATGGCTCTAAATCCATAATGTGATTCACAGAAAGGCAAATTGCTATTTTTCAGTATACTTGAAACGCTAAATTGTTAAAGTAGAGCAAACTAAAACGGACAAGCACGAATATCATATACAGCAACAAACAACAAATATTCCTCAGAAAACAATAACTCTAACAAAAACAATGATCGCGCCTCTCGGCATAGGCAACAGATAGCAGCCGACTCCAAAACGCCATAAGCTATCACATCCGGAATAGCACTATATAATGTGGACAAGGATACAGGCTGTTATTTTAAAGTTACCCAAAACTCATTTCAGCTAATACATGGGCCATGCTATTTCCCTCAGAATATTCACAGACAACACCACCAATTGTGCCTAATTCACTTCATTTAAGTTTTCAAAAGAATCTCTCATTGCCTCTGCGTTCATTAAAGAGGATAGAGCTTTGTGGATGGCTAAATCTGCTTTGTAAAACAAACTTTGTGCCTTGTCTCTCTTGAACTTGGCCATTTTGCATGTATGCTCAGCAGCACCCAAGGCATCACGTAAGTGAAACTCATTGAGATCATAAATCTCGAGCTGCTTTATGTCCCATGGACAGACTCCATTTTTGTGCCCTATTGTTCTGTCCGTATGGGACGTCTCCCTTTGACAGTGAGAATAAAGTTGTGATAAAAGCTTTTTGTGCTTATTCTTAGAAACCTTACGGTTAACTTTCCATACAGTGTTCGAAGAGAAATGCGCGTTTTGTGGGGACCACATCCTTGCTAAAGGGTAGAGTGGGACATCAGAAACTTCATGTACGTTGTTCGTATACAACATTTTGCCTCCAAAAGCATGCCCATGTGCTCTTCTCCCTGCAAATGTGAATTTGACCTCAGTTAAGGGAATAAGAGATAACAAAATATTAGTAAATTTACAGGTTAATTAAACAAATACCATAAATAAGTGGACTGTCCCGATCCCCTGAGAAAGTATGATGCTTTCCAGAAACGGTAAATTTTCTGTGAGACCGTTGTTTTGAGCCTCTGTTAGGTACATCCAAGCCCCGTGGTTTCAAGCAGAAAGCAAACATCGGTGGTTTTTCCTTATCCGCGCCACCAACTGAGGGGACACAATTTCCACGGGCAACATTTTGTTCCCACTCCTTCATCTGTCGTTGATACCTCTCCCAAGGAGGCGGCTGGAAAAAAGGTGTTAACTTTAAATTTCTACATATAAATATAGGAATAACAAAATAGAGGAGAAGACAATACAATAGTATACTTATAACTTAACTGCTAAGATATCTAAAAGCGTCATGCAGTAAAAATAAAATGTATTCCTTCAGAAAAGTACAAGGCAAATGCACTAAAAGCAATAATTATGATAGAAAGGAGGTCAATTCAACAAGTTCTTGAAAAAAAGTTATTTTATTGGTCATCATCATTCGTTTAGCAAGCCTATGTCCAAAACGCAATAATCACTATATCATGAAAATTATAAAATAGAGCATCATTGCCACAAACAATCTCATAAAATCACTCATTCTTTTTAATAAAAATCGACAATTGAACACAAGTTCAGCAATCCCTTAAGCTTAGCTAGGAATACTTATTGGGAGTGGCCAGGCTACATTCCACAATGCAAAAATTTCCAGAAGTAGGTCCCAGATTTTCCTCTTTATAGAGTGAAAATTAACACCCTCGCCAACTTAACACAGGATAATAATAACAAATATAAACTGACTAGTCAGGCCACAAATGTAGTTTTTGGCGGCAAACGAGCAATAAAGTGGGACACACAAATCCCTTACTTGAAAAACAGGCAGGGAAGAAGATTATTAAAACTTCTACTCATCATACTTTTAAACAAAGTGTGTTCATGATAAACTCCAAGACAATAATCACACAAATAGTACCTGGAAATGTCTTAGCAAAGGCATGCGCATTTTTTCCCGTTTCCTTCTCCAGTGTTGATAAATGAGTTTAGCGGCTTCAATGGATCCCACCCCAGAAGCTAGCTCCTCAACTTCGGCATCAGTGAAGTCTTCACGATGCTGGGAATATGCAAATTTTTCAAACATGTCCATTGCCATTTCAAACAAGTTGTCAGATAAGTGTTCACATTTATGTTTGTCGGCACATTTTTTCTGTTCCATCAACCACCACTCATCATCACTATCCATGTCATACAAAACATGGGAAGGGTCCATCGCCAGCTCAGCATCAGACTGAACCTGCCGAAAATACACTGCTGGATTCCGGACAAATGGAGCCTTGTGCCCGAAATCGTCGTACTCGTCAACCAGGCGGACCCCAGGAATGGGGATGTTCCTCATGGAGGCCGCACGAATATTCCGATTGTAACACTCCTCATACATCTCCTTGAAAAGCGTCCACTGGCCCCGATCGGTAAATTCGAGCACCCAATCCTTTTCCCCTTTCCACATCATAGCATGTGAATAGCGGTTGACTGTTCCAGGCTGCAGAATATGTTTGACTTTGTACGAGAATCTCGTGACCTCAGAGAACTTGACGGCCAATCTCCATTCATTGTCACTGGCAACTTCTAAGCAAACATGGGCCCCACAATCTCTCCATCCTCTGTCCTCATTGGTGACTAAAACATTCACAGAGCATGACAGCAATTCCAAGTTTTTCTCATTATTCCCTGTCACATCAGGTGTCCTCTGGCTAGCTCTCCTAATCCTCTTGCAAGGTACAGACCGTGAGCTGGGCGTTTCTTGCTTTCTGCTGATATCATTACCCTCCCAAGGCAATGTGTAGTGAACCTGAGTGCGCGGCTTTTTGGGTCCAGGCATGAAGTTTGGCTTACCATTGGACCAGAAATGTGAGTTAAATCCAAGAGGAGAGGATATTCTGCTGCTTTTACCACGTCTGTACGAACTTTTGGATCCTGCAGTGCTGGTGTTTAGAACAAATCCATCCGCATCTGATTGTCTGATTTCATGTTCCGAAGGGATATCTTGAACACTGACTGAGCTGGGCTTAAATTGAGAGCACTTTGCTGTAGATTGGTCACATTTTTGTTCAGCAGACTCTTTTGAGAAAGTAACACCCTGTCGTCGGAAATCCTCACGGGCAACACTATGATGCATGAGTGAACGGATATGCAAGCTGGGAACAGACATTTGTGATTGAGAAACTTTTCCAGGCTCTGCAGCTAAGCTGAGAGGAGATTCACTCATCCTTGCATTACAGGCTTCTGGGTGCCGCTCAAGTTTCTTCTTGGAATCCTGTTTGAGAGAAGTAGAGACCACAATTGTCGACATAAAAATTAATATAATAACATGAAATCAAGAAATGGAAAGGAAAAGGAAAGAATCACAAAAATCAAATGATGCTCTTATTCAATTCTTAAGCTATAACATGATTGTGTAAACGAAAAATGCTGGTCCACAAAATCTATAATCGATCAACAAAAACTGAACAGATAAATGATCCCCAACGGCAACAAACCACCACTAATAAAAGAAAAAGAAAAAAGAAGCAAGAACTAAAATTAAACAAGGGTTTTGGGAATAAAAGGATTATTTAAAATTCGAAATGTGATGCTGAAGAATTTGTTTTGAACTGCCAAACTAGTTGATGACATGGTAAAGCCACGTCAATTATGTAGTAAATTCCTCAAAATGTGAAGCTGTTATCTTAGAAACAAACATTACATGGAGTGTCCCAAAAAAACATTCATCAAGGAAATCTGTTAAAATAAAATGTATATACCTCACTTGATGGGAGCTTGAAACCAACATAAGATTCGAGAGGCTGAAGAATCCGACATTCAAGTTCCTTTATATTGTCATCTGTGCACTCAGAAAGGCGCAACTGTTTAACAGGAAGGCACTGTTGCAGAATCTTTGATTCCCGGCAAAGCCACATTGATCTCTGGAGTTCGGAGAAACAATAAGGTGCAGAAACAAGCTGCTTCCGTCGATCATGAACACTGGATATTTGGAACAAAATTGACATGGCAGGTATTTTCTTGTCTCCATTCCACTGTTCATCATATTGATCCAAGAACCTCAAAATTTCGAAAACAATGGCTAAAGCTTGTTTCAGGCAGCCTTCATAAAAGAGAAGTCTCAAGCCAAGATTACTATCTATGAGGACCATCTCAAAGAAAACAGAAGAAGAGGTAGTCACGATCACTCCATGTTGAAGCCAGAATATGTCATGAAACACCCAAAAACAATTTCTTGTACATGAAAACTCCGTATATGATAATAAGGGTAGACATATCCAGATTCTAGGTTCTTTAGGCTCCAGCAAGGTATTATACAAATCAAGTTTGCCTTTATCATCAAACGAGCAAACTTCATTGTCAGAGTTGACATGCCCACAACAATTCAACCTATCCAATTTACTAGTCTGCAAGCGAACGGCATCAGATGCAAGAGGAGTACCAGGCTCTTGAGCACCATTACATGTTTTGGCGTCTCTAAGCACAGAACTACTTCCAGCAAATTTCTTCTGATTCTTCTTCCTGACATAAACCAATTGTTTGTCACTTTTTGAGATAATTCCCGACAGATATTTGTCACCGAGTGAATTATCTGCTGATGCACACTCACAACCCATTCTATTTACAGTAATATCTGAACCATGCATATCATCATTCCAGATGTCAGCTTTCTCAGATGCCAATGATGAGACAAAAGGAAAGTCACATTCTGATGTTTTTAGTCTTTTCAGGGACTTGGGCAAAGCCTTCACACGTTGAGATTGACTGGCCAGCCACAATGCAATAGGTTCTGAATCAAGAGAGTTCCCTATGCTGCTTTCATCATCTGCCCGAGTAACTAATTGTCCTCTGTATAAATCTTTGTCCCTAGAAAATTGGTTTTGAGATTTAGCTTTTCCAGGAATTTCACTACGTAGAAGCAAGAGCTTAAATTTCTCCTCTTCAAGATTAACCCACTCTTCATCCCTATCATCGTACTTTATGTGATGAAGCTTTGCTGTTGTGCGATAATTGTTCACAATGCCCTCATACCAACAGTCATCCAATGGCCAAAATATTTTGATCCTCCGTTTCAAAACCCAGTAAGGGTCCACATCCTGGCCGAGGACCTCATAGAAATGACGGCGCTTCTTTGACAAGACCTTGCCGCTATCTCCTCTTTTGGGTCTAAGTGATCTCATGTTATCATCACCAGCACCAGACTCCACATTTTGACTGATCGAGTTACCAAACAATTCATTAGCCGTTTGAGATGCTGAAGATTTTCCCTTTGATGAGTAACCAGTACAACTAGGGTCAAATCTAGAAGAAAGCATCCTAGCTGCATTCTGTTCAAGGTTCTCCTCATCATCTTCATCGTCCTCATCATCCAGGGCAGTGGTGGAGAGACTATTTGAGACCGAACTACGTGCTGCAGGTACGGGTTCCCTAACTGAGGCATCAACACGATCCATACTAACGTCTAAGTTCTTTTTATTCCTAGACGCATCTACATTATTTACAACACAATTTTCTTGCTTCACTACATGCTCATCTCTTTTCTTGATGACACTATCATATCCCACCTTCCGATTCAGTCTCACATTTGAACTATTGGAGTCCTCGGTGGATCTCGAAACAGCCTTTTTCTTGCGTTTAGCATTTGAACCGGGGCCTTTCCCAGCTAATCTCGAATTCAAAGTGTCACCGTTGCCTACAAAAGGGGCGGTCCGCCTAACCGATTGGACATTACAGCCAACCTTACTATTTGATTTAGTCACTCCCTTAAGTGATCCCGAACTGGAAAGTCTGAGTGACTCAGAGCCTTGATCACTTTCAGGCCTTTTCCGCCCTACCGAACCACGTGGCCGCTTAGGGATGTGAAACAATTTTCCATTATCTCCCAAAGGTAATGAGGCATCGTGCAGTGATTTGAGCCTGGCACCTGATTTCTCTCTGGAACCCAGCTCCATTTTCGAGCCACTCCCATCATCCTTTTTCCTAAACTTTTTAGCATCAGACAGAAAAGAACTCAAAGGAACCTCCTTAGGGATCTTCCTCTTCTTCTTCTTAACGTCTACTTCATCATATTCACTGGAAACTTTCCTCTTACTCACTCCCGGCTTGAAAAATTGAGATTCACGGTCACCCTTTAGATCCAAAGAGAGCTTTCTCTTGGGAATTTGAACACCACCAGACTTCTTTCTGCTACTTTCCATGAACAATTTCTCGATCCAATCACTCAAACATGGTTCCTTTTGATCTCACGTCCCATGAAGATCCGCCAGCACAAGAACACACCCAGGAAACAACAAATTGATCATCAAAAAGGCCACCCAGTCGTTATCAGACGCCAGAAAGGCAAGAAGCTCACTTATCGGAAAGAAAACGGGTTCGATAGTAACAATGGTGAATAAAACCCATAAACACACATGAAGTACATGCAAAAGCGTACACACCTCGGATCACAATCAATCAGAAGGCGCCATTGGAGGAGTGAAGATCGTGCTGCATGAGAATGGTATTGATTTTTAATTCGAGAGAAGTTATAGAAAAAGGGGATGAGGAAAAAATATCAGCACTGACTTGAAGCCCTAAATTGATTTCACTGTTTTCCCCATTTTCCTTTTGCTGTTTTTAATTCCAGAGTCCTTTTTGAATCTTGAAAATTAGAAATATTAGGGCGAAATGAACGGGCCAAAAAGGGAATTTCGGGGGCAAAATTGTAATATAAGGTGAAAACGTGGCAAAATTATGGCCGCTCGATTTCCCCTTCAAACGGTGAGGTTTGGGGTTGTCGTAGGAGCCCTAAATCTGATGATAGGAAAACCCTATCCTCCCTAGTGCATGTTTGGATTTGTGGGCATTCAAAATTTACTTATTAGGATATTTTTGTTACTATCAACTAATTAATCGGGTTAGCTTATAGCTCATTTGAGCTCGATATGGTCGAGTATGAGAAATAGTATGGTTTTTTTTTATATATCGCGAACAAAAATAAATAAAACTATTATTTTTTTATACCAATAAATAAATATGAGTATTAAAAATCTTATTTGTATTAATATAAATGAGTTAGCGGGCTTATAGGCTAGACTTTACGGGTCTCGATTTAACGGTAGATAAAAAACACAGATTAAAAGAGATGAAAAATATATCACGCGATCATATTAATTTTGGGGTTAAACAAACAAATACCCTTAGGAACTTGGCCATTTAACATATTTGTACTTTGCATCGCACGAGCCACGTACTAACATTGATTGGAGTTTCGTTTACAGCATATATATATAGATTAAATTTTTGCTTTGTGCCCTTTATTCTTCTAGAAGAGCGATTATGAGTTGTTTTTTCAAATAAATGGCTTCTATTGATACAATGAGAATGTGGAAGTGGTTGACCTATGCCAAACCACTAAGGTTGTCGACCCAATGGAAGTGAAACTGGTAGTTACTGTGCATATTGTATTGACTGGGAGTTATTTAGTAAAAATCTTCATATTTGTAGAAATAGTTGTCTTGTTATGCTGATTTGCATGGCTAGTTATTAAACATTTTAAACTCGGCATTGCCAATCAATTTGACGATAGTATATAAACATGCCCTATTTTGGTTGTTGCTAGTCTGAAGCTTGCAGTTGGAATCCCCTCTATATTGTTCATGCATGGATGTTGCATGAAAGTTTTCCTCTTCAAAAAGGATGGTTTGTCGAATTACGAATTTCCTGCTATTTTTTTTATCTTGAGATGTAACTTCCATGCATGCTATATTTTTCTTGTAATGAATTTATTCAAACCTCATATACTAGGTAAGACATCATCTAATCAAAATGGATCCTGCAAAACACATATACATAGCAACTGCAATTACTCTCAATTATTAGGTTCCAAAATGTATGGCACCGTTTGGAAGATAGCGGGATTGAAGATAAATTAGCGGATTGGACTTAATTGAGAGGTTTGACCCGTCAAATCCGCTATTGAGCATGTTTGGTAAATAACTTATTTGATAAGCTTTTTGGGCCCAAAACTCTCACTTAAAAAAAGCTCATTAGATCAGCGTTTTGGGGATAGAGGATTCATAAAAATCATTTACTTGTAACTTTTTAATTTGTATTATTTTTTTACAATCTACATTGGTTTATGGTACTAATAAATAATAATATGTCATCCATATAATTAATTTATCTAGAAAAATATAAAATTCATAACTTCTTCATCAAGTTTTAGTAAATTTTAAAAAAAACATAATATATTTATAAATTACCAACGAAAGAATATTAAATGATTTAATATATTATTAATAAAATAATACACCCAAAATAATAAAATGTTCTTATTGGTCATTTTGCAATGTCAAACAGCTATAAGTTTTCAGTTATTTACTAAACACTTATTTAAAAATCGCTAATACAATTCGCTGGTCAAATCAGCTAATATAATCCGCTATCCGTTATCCGCTGATACAATTTGCTATCTGCTATCCGCCAAACAAGGCCTATAGCTACTGGAAGAGAGAAATAATGGATATTATTATCATCCATATGGTAACACATGTTATAAATACCATTATAAAAATTTGTCTTGCGAAAGAAAATTATTACACAAGTTCGCTTTCATGGCTCAAGCATTCTATTACCAAAAAAATGTTGCCATAATGTGAAATTTAATAAGAGTAATGAAGATGATGTAAACATAGTAATAAAGACATTAAAAAGAGACATTAGAAAGAGACACGTGAAAGAAGACTCAATCGCTACGTGTTGCTGGAACCCTTGCATGGGTGAGTCGAATTTTCATAAAGATTACGAAATCATATTAATATGATTCTTGTTGTACATGTATGCGACGTCGAAAAACCTACAATAATTGTTGTTTGCTCAGACAAAGAGGAACTACACATTCATTATTAGACTAGACATCAGTCATATGTTATAGGTTTTGAAGGGCTTGACCAAACAAAAAATTGAGGTTGTCCCACCGTAGATCTCCAAAATTTTGAAACCGCGAGCCAAAAGGTTCGGTCATCATCACCCAAACATATAAGATTGAATTGTGTTTAGAATTTATAAAATAAGGTAGAGAGAGGGGAGAGGAACTGTGAGGTGTTATGCATCTGTCTCACCTCAAAAATCTCCTCTCCTACACTACAAGCGACATAATAATGACATTGGATTCTTGGTGGTTTCAGCGACGAAGCTTTTTCAGTATACAAAGAAAATCAGGGAAACAATTATGAGGGAAATATAAAGGTGCCTCTACTTTACCATGGTTTAGTGAACGTCCAATTCAAAATTTAGATATTACAGACAAAACCCTAGTACAGCTGGCATAGGCCTTCTAAAAGTCCACTCGCCAATTGTGTGTTGGTCCAATAATCAACATTAGAAGCGTGTTGTCGATGTCTTTCATCCACCAATCACCATACAATAGCTAATCATGTGCGAGAGGGGAAGAAAAACCAGTCATTTTTTAATACAAATTTAGTGGAGCATGACGTGATATTTAAAAGTGTTATATCTTAATGCAAAAATAGTTTGTTTGTATAAATGCTTAAGGAAATGTTTTTTGGAAAGCATCGACTTTTTTTAAATAAAAAATAGGTAATACTAATTATGGCACAAATATTTTGTAGACTAAATGTGGAGGAATGGGTGAACATGGTAGGGTGGGACGTATAACAATTAAAATAACAGGTACATTTATTACTGAGTAAATAAGAAATATATACTTGCAATAGATTAAATAACATTCAGGGATTAAAATCTCAAAGGTTTAGATTGTGTAAGGGGAATATGATCTTTTCAAATCTCTTCAAAGTAAGAAAAATGATGAAAGTCCTAAATTGTAAAACCTTTTATGAAAAGAAAGAAACTATTTACGTCATTTCAACATAGTAATAATACATACTTTCATAAAATCTCACCATCTCATCCCCTCATTTAAAACGAAATAAAGGAAAGTAAATATGTATGTTATTAGTAGCTTTATGGAGGTTATGTAGATCAAGAAAACAGTGAAGACGAACAGTGATAATATCAAAATTTCCCTAATTTAGTTTCCTTGTAGAAATTTAGGTTTCCAGGGACAGGCTAACCTTGTTTACAAAAAACAAAAAATTAAATATAAAAGAAAAATAAAATCATCCAAGCTCTACAAAGGCCATCGACTGAGATGAAAATGTCTCCGATGACCCGTCGTTTTGATCGGGCTTCTTACGTTATTTTATTTTTTACATGGCACGAAGCTCTTATTAACGGGTTCGCATCAAGGGGTATGGATCTTCTACAGAGTCAATAATTTGGGAGTAGTGGGGGAGATATACAGTCACCTTTCAGTCTTGAAATTCATCTACAAAACCAAAGGACAGTGACTTAAAATCCAATTCAATGTGTGAATCACGGGTAATAAATTATAGTTGAATATTGTTGTGCTAGAAATTTGCCAAGACAACCACCTAAGCCCTGAAAGTGGTTGGAAATCGTTCTTTGCGAAATGCGAATAAAACCGCTAAATATTAATTTATTTCAATTTCATCCCCCAAACTAAAAATAGCCCATAGAGTTTGTTCAAGAAAATTACCAACTCAACTAAATCAAAATATGAGTATAAGGAACAAAAATTAATCTCAAATCATAATAAATGATACCAAAAAAAAAAAAAATAAGGTAATGTACAGAGGTCGGTGTGCAGTTGATATGAAATTGTCAATTCCATTTTATGCCCGTTTTCGATTGGCTTTTCCTCATGAGGATAGATGGGGCGATTCGGGTGAGATCCAATGTAGATCTAACTTTCGATTCACTCGTGGGCATATACTAGGGGATTTCACTTGGAAACGAAAATGTTCCATATTCGCAAGGGATTCAACGCTTCGTTCGTTGGGTGCAGTTCCCTTGAAGCGGGGTTCTTTCATTGCATTGATAGAAGAAGAACTAGTGGGTTGAGCCGTTCGGAGATGATATCATAGTCGCATCAGAGATGACCGCTATTGTTTAATTTATATTGGAATACTCAATGTATTTGTTTGTATTTAAATGTACTAAACACTATTTAGGGCTTGCTTGTTTATGTGTTAATTTGCCCAAAAAATTGAGTTATTTGTATTTGAGTTAATTGAGTAGACTGTCACTTTCACCAATTCAAACACATGTTGCCATGTGGGTCCGCCTGTCTCTTTTCCCTTGGACATTTTGCAGTTAACATGTACAATATCCTGATGGGCTCCGTTTTGCATGTAATTTTATATTGTTTGTTCATTCATTTGTTATTTTTGAATAGATAATTATGTAATTGCCATGTCCTTTTACAATCACGAATAAAGCAAAAACAGAAATATTGCATGAACTTGTGTTACACTTGAGTAAAAGAAATGCGCCAAACACAACTACATATTTGATAATAAAAGTGACCCTAGAAGTCCAAATGCACACAATTCGGATTACAAAACATTTGTCCCCATCACCATCCAAAACAAATTTCTCGTAATGGTAACCTCAAAACAAGGACAAAAATAAGGAGCCAGAGTGAATGTGCACGTCGAGCCTTCAACAATTCCACTAATGTCAAAAAATTCTCTAGCATGGATATTTTGCATCAAATCTTTGCCATGGCCCACAACAATTTCAACTGTGTATGTAATGTCATCATATATCAAGAGCGCCCGGTCCAAGTCGTCACATCCACCCACCACATGTGACCGCTAGAATTGAATCGAAATTGGCTACATTTGAAACATATTGATGAATGTAACGTGGTTAAAATAAATTTCAATAAATATGGACAACATCAAACTCACAATAATTATTCGACTACCAAGCGCGCACGTTCAATGTGTGTTTTCTTGATCTCCAGAGTAAAACGATGTCGCAAAGGCCGCTCAATAGCATCCTCGTCGAACACGGTGACTGAAAAGCCTGTGAGGCTGTTGCGGTCGAACCAAAGATAGTACTCAGTCCTTATATCCTTCGCATGCAGGAACTGTAGCCACCCGTCAATGAAGAATATTCCCTCATCATTCCCTCTGATTGTCACCTCATGCGTACGCCCTTCTCTCATGGTTAGCGTACATTGAATAGGTACAAGTGGCATGTACTGATGAGTTAGACCACCCGGGAGTCTCTGTAATGTAGTATAAAACATTGTTTACTACATGCTCAATAGATACTTAATTACAATTGATTGTATAATCAAAATTCATCGAATACACAATAACCTACCATTGTTGGTCTTGTCGTGCTACAAATAACCAAAAAAAATTCTTGACAAAGGATTCGTCATCTTCATAAAAAAGTCGGCACCTGTCAATGAACAAAAAGAAATGGAAAACACCGTATTGTGGTTAGGGTAATAATCTAACAATTAAATTGGTCTTCAACTGAACATCATAGATTTTCAGTTAGGGTAATAATCAAAAAAATTTAAAAAACACCATATTGTGGTTTAGGGTAATAATTCAACAATTAAATTGGTCTTGAACTGAACATCACAAATTTTAGTTAGGGTAATAATCCAAAAAATATCGAAAACACCATATTGTCGAACGCAAGTCACAGATTTGTCCAAAAATTAAAACGAACAAATTATGTTCGAAAATGAAAAACTCATTTTCAATCATTTCCACTTTACCATGAATAAAATGGATTTAATATGTTTTTAAATGTAAAATAGGTGGAGCCCTAAAATAGGTAGAACGAGCATAACTACATACAATGGAAAGCACCCAAAATTTTTGATCCCGGATAAGTATGGACAATGTCTACGACATTGTTTTTGTCAATTACATTAGGTAAACGACATAGAAGATGGGTACAAACCTTGTGGCGGCGAGCGGCGGAAATTGGTCAGGGGTTTCGAGATGGTAGGGTCGAAAAAAATGGCGACTCTTCCTCTGGCCGGGGGGGAGGGGGGGTTGTAGGCTGGTAGTAAATGTGGACCACTTTTAACAGAAGTGGTTGTAAAGTATAATAAAGAGGTTGTAAATAGGTGTATTATAATATTAATTAAACTTTATTGGTTGTAGTAATTACGAAATACTGTTTGTACTATTACAACACTCGTGTATTACACGGGTGTTTGTTAAAAATTGTTGTCAAATTTTAAAATTAATGAAACAAATTATTTAAATTTTATTTTTACTTTTCTTACAAATTGTATATAAGATTATATATTTTAGAATGACACTTCTTAGTTGTACGACTTAAATGTGTCATATTATAGTAACTAGTACAATACCCGTGTACTACACGGGTAATTGTTAAGAAAATTATTTTTAAAATTAAATAATAATAACAATAGTTGTTTAAAATTAAATATATGTATTTATTAGGCCAATTGGAGGTTTTTATGAAAATTAATGAGTCGATTGTTTAAAATAATATTATTTTTTATCCAAACCAAACTACGAAGCATGTTTTTTCGCCAAGTAGGATTCCGAAACGTGCGAGGCTGCCACTTAGGCTCAGCACATTCTGCAATTATATATAGAGGGGATTTTTATAACTATCATATAACTACTTCAAATATTAGTGATTTATAAATGATTAATAATTTTATTTTTGTAATTAATATTAGAAAACAATTTTATCTTTTGTTATAAAGATGAAAAAAAAAAATTATTTTTCTATACATACAATATGAATGTTAAAATCAAAGCTCATCAACATATGATTATTTTGATCAATACAGGTACGCTTGTGTCATTATAAATTACATATTCTTATTCTATTACCCGTACGCTTGTGTCATTATAAATTACATATACAGGCTTATTCTATTAACCAAAAATTAATTTTCATTCATTTATTTCTTCCAATTCACAACTACTTCAAGATTTTCAAAATAATGTTTACTTGGCTATATAATTTCATTAAAAACTATTTGTTTTTTTTTCCTTAAATTATATTAATGGATACATTTTATTGTTTCTTTTGTAAACAAAATTATGTAGAAAAAAAATTGGTATGAAGAATTTCAAGTCTATGCGAAATATATGGAGAAAATTATTGTCGTGTGTTGTGAATACTTTTTTCTGGAGTAGAATCAAAAGATTCGAAAACCGGGTCATGTCTCTCGAGGAAAGTTAGCTGGAATATTTATGCGTGTTTATTCAATCACACAAAAAGAAATAAAATTCCTAAACATTCTAATTCAAGATATTGGTTTGGATTTAATTATCAACTACTGCAGAAATTCAAATAAGCAAAGTAAATAGCAAGTGAACACATAGAACAAGTAAGATTAAAGGGGCTAGGGTATCTGGGATAATCGCTTCTGGTTCTCAATACATTTAACGGAAAGTCAACTACTCGGCTAAAGGACTCGAAAAACTAACTCATCTAGAGATTCATTCTTAATATCCCACGAAACAAGAGAATAAACATAAACGAACAATTATCGAATTAGTTAGCACATAGACAATACGTCTCCGAACAAGCCTATTCTAAACGAGCCTAGATCGATAGTTTCTCCCCTTTCGCTTCTAAAATCGTTTAATTAGATAAGATGGTGATCAATCATCTAACCCTAGGATTAACACAACTCAAAAAGATTGAGTAATTAACATGCATATAAACAAAATCGAACCGGAACGATAATCCCTTAACCCCTAGCTAACGAATTTAGCTACTCATCACAAATTTAACATAAACATTCATATCAAACAAAGCCAACACATCCATAGATAAAATGAAAATCGAAACTTACGAGTAATATGAAGGTTCAATGTCAAATTCCCATAGCAAAACAAATTCGAAAGATAAAAGAGAGTTATTCACCCTCCCAAAATCCAAACTAAGCCAGAACCAAGAGCAGAAAAATATGTTCTCCGTGAAGTGTACGAATAGAATTTTTCAAAAACCTAGTTAAGAATCTCCTTCGATAAAAAAAA